GGATAAGGTTGATCATAGGATCATGGTCTCATAATTGTTTAGTTTAGGTTTTTCTAGTGGGTTTATTATTTTTAATTGCAAACCATATTTTCAATTACTGATGATGTCTCCAAATATGCTCAAGTGTTATAAGTGTGAAAGATTGTAATGAAATTCAAAAAAATTTGAACAGTATCAATAATATTTAATTGTTAAAAAATGTTGAGTTTTATAAGTAGATCTTTAAGTTTATTCAAAATTGTTAACTAGAGATACCTATATAATATTCATAAATGGCTATGAATTAGGTGTATTTAATTCAAACCTAACTTTTTTAATCACCTGGACATAAAGTATTAGAACTTTAAAAAAATGTTTGGCTTTAGGCAGTACTTATTATTTTGTACTAGACATAGCCGTGCGATATCCCGCTATTATTCTCTAGCTTTGTGCCTCACATTAGGTTCGGTTAATATCTCACCAGTATGTCTTCTAAGTCTGTTGCCCTGTTGCCATTTTAGAATAAAGTATTGCAAAACTCTCCCATGGGATTTTTCTCCAAGTAATACATTTATTTTAACAACAGACGCTTCAGGAAAAGCAATTGGATCTATTCTTTGTAATGGTAATGGGTCTCCTGTAGCTTATGTAAGTCGATATCTAAATAAAGCAGAAATAAATTTTGCAACAATTGAAAAACAGTATGATTTGTCATTTTGACAGATCACCGCCCACATATTTGTTTATTTGAGATGAGCAACCCTTCGAGTAGATTAACTAACTTTAGGTTAGTATTAGAAGAATATGATTTTGTAGTTAATTATATAAAAGGACAATGTGGAAGCAGACGCTTTGTCTAGGATAGAATGTCATCTGAAGAGCTAAAAAATATAGGTAACAAAAATGAGTTAGTAAACGTAGTAACAAGATCTCAAACGAAAAAACAATTACAATTAACAGAGTTAGAAACGGCGAATAATAATTCTTCTACTAGGTCTGATCACTCTGGATTGGTGGAATTGTTAAAGCCAAATAAAAACGCGGTAGAATTAGAATTAATTAGTAGCGAACAATTTAGGAAAGTTACAAATAAACAACATATACATAGACGATGTAATTTTATTTACGATATACGATTATTTATGTATAAAGAGAATCTCGATCAACGTGAGCTTTAGGGACATCGTTAAGAGAACTCTTTAATATACGCAAAAAATATAATATTACTGAAATGTATATTATAAAAAATTTAAAAGGCGCGTCTTCACTTATAAAAGATATAATGTTGCACAAGCAGGAATTTGAGGAATGTAAAATAGGTATAACTATTATAAAAGGGGTAGAAAGAGTCACAAGTTATAAAAATAGACAGTTGATTCTAAATGATTTTCACATTTTACCTACTGGTAGTTACGCTGGAATAAAAAGAATGTATAATAATATCAAGCAATATTATTACTGGTTAGGTTTATATGAGGGTGTGGTTAATTATTTAAGAAAATGTGATGATTGTCAAAGATTTAAGCATTCTATTTTAGCAAAAGAACCTATGACAATCACAACTACAGCAACCTCATAATTTGAAAAAGTTCATTTCAATCCGTTTGAAGCTGATTACGAAAATAACCGATACATCTTAGCGGCGCAATTTGATTTAAATAAATGTGTAGAGGGGTATGCATTACCTAATAAAGAAGCAGTACCAGTTTCAAAAGCTTTTGTAGAAAACTTTATATTACGTTATCGAATACCTCATGAAATATTAATCGATCAAGGAACTGAATTTATGAACGCAGTATTTACGGAAATTTGTAAAATGTTAAAAATTCAAAAATTAAACTCTGTTGCTTATCATCACTAAACGATAGGAAAAATCGAAAATAATTATAAACATTTTGGAGTATTTTTAAGAATTTAAACAGCAAAGAATCCTGGAAATTTCAGTACTTGGATTTCTTATTGGTGTTTCGCGTACAATACAACGGTACATTCAGAAACGAAATATTCTCCTTATTTATTTAAAAATGCAAGATAGCACAGTTTTTATGGCAAAGATCTATATTTTTATATAATTTTGCTATCATTCATTTACAAATAAACTATAGGAAAAGAGTAATCTCTCAGTTTTTCTAAAAATACCTTGATAGTGATGTAAGTATATCTTTTCTTTATAGGTGTAAGAATAATTATAAAGTTTGAGTTTTTGTTGTCATAATATAATACAAATGGATGACCGGTTAACAATCAGATTTGACACTACATGTAGGTTTTGTCTCCATATTACTCAATAGGTACAGATGGTTTACTTGTAAATTGAATTATATTACATAAATCTCATTGAATTTTTCTATAATTCTCATAGCAATATGTACACAGAACACTTATCCAATTATATATATATATATAATATAACCATGTGAAAATAACATTTTAAGAAGGAGATAATTACTAAAACCGGCCCTGTCTAAACAGATCTAGGAAAATCAAATAGGTTTGTCAAAGTTTTGTTGCTAATGCGCTAGTTCAGTGATGATGTAGTTATGGTTCCACTGACAATTAAAGTGACAGTAGATTTTTTGAGTGCGTTTTGTTTACCTAAATTATATCGTTTTTTTTTTTTCACTTTTATAAATACATTCCTAAAGTAAGTAAATAGCATGTTTCAAATATACAATCGTTTAGTTACCAATTACATACCTTTAAACTATTTTTTATGACCTGTAAATATTTATTCTTTATCTATGCCTGTAAACAATATTTTAAAATAAAATAGAAACAGTAATTACGTATATGTCAAATTTATTGATGTTTTTGTTAAAAGTTTGGTTAGAATTAAATGTCAGTGGAACCAAAATGACATCACACTGAACTAGCGCATATGAAATTAGAAATAGTGCATCTCACTCACTTATAACTAATAACAAAGTGCAGATTCGGTGTTCACGTATTACAGAACACATAAACTAAAAATCAGTTTAGCCAAAATATCAAAACATAATTCACCAATCATGGCGGCCAGCAAGAATGGGATAATTTTTTTGTATTCACAGCAAACATCAAGCCGTATCCAGACTTTTTGAGGGCTATGGTTAAATTGTATTAACAAGACATCTAGCTATCAGAATACCATTACTCACAAATTCTTCACTTTCCACATTTCCCATGTGTCAGACGTGATCTCTCGCTAAACCTCGCTGAGACGACAGCTTCCAAATTTTGGGGTACTTCTATATCATCATCCACTAGGGCCTTTATCGGTTGAGTCTTTTCCTCTGAATTAAGGACAATTTTCTTGTGTCTAGTTACTAAAATTTTATTTTGAAGGCCAATGATTTATTTTGCTTTATGTCCATATTATCGGCCACCAGAGTTTTTTAAGGTACTACCAGTCTGTATGGTTGCTAATATATTTTCTAGAACAGGAGCATTGTGCCTTGCATCTGTTTCCAGAACTATGCTTCTTCGAGTTGGTCGACTTGGCTGTACCAGTATTTCATTTAACGTGTAAGTTCGAATATTGGGGCCAGCTGTTACAACCGACGCCTGCCAGTGTCGACCTTTTGCTTCCCTGATTATTGCTAGAAAGCCGGCTAGGTGAGGGTGACCGGCTTCGCCGGGATGCATATCTGTTGTAATTATTTCTTGTTGGACTTAGTAACGGGATTTGGGTAGTTGATCTAGGTTAATTTTCAGCCTCATTCCTTGATCCTCGATTTGTAATATAAGTCCTACTTCTACAGGTTCGTTGAATGCCGATTTTTCCGCAACTGAGGCATTTTCTGCTCTCGTTCTAGCTGTTGCATATTTTGCAAGATATTTAAGATTTGTAAGAGAGTAGATTGAAGAATAGTATTGGTAGTGGCTTCTTCACTTTCCTGGAATCTAATTTCTCTTAATTTTGCACGAGCAGAACTAAATATGATTTTTGCTGCCTCATATTCCTGATCTGCAATCAGTGTCTCACTCAACGTCTTGTGGTATTGTAGCCAAAGAGCTTGCTGCATTTCCACATCTTTTTATATTTTAGTAGATAAATAAATGCCTATATGCCAATTTGTTCTAAGAAATCTTTGGGCGCCTGAGGATAGGCCATATTTTTTATATCAGCCTCAATTTCTCTAGACTTTCATTATGTTTCTGATTATGAACCTTTAGTTTTGTTTGGAATGCTGCTTATTTCCAAAGCTTGCACGACAAATGAATAACTGGGTTCGTCTTGAGGAAGTTATTGTAAAATGGTTGCTGTCTGTCTTCGCAGCGACACTATCAATTTAATGTGGTAATAATTGAGAAATTGCATTATTTCAGTTTGCGACTGGCTTGATGTTTCTGCGCACTCGCACTTTAATTAAGTTGTTTACTTACAGCACAATATCCAGTAATTTATTTTGCCATTATACTAGTATAATTAATAAAATACAAACCGAAATATTTCATTGAACCGATTACATAATTAACAATCTAACATATGTTGTATTACAGAATGCATTATTTGAGATAATTATTCCCATGTAAAGTTCCAATATAATTGTAATTTTAACACAATATGTTTTGCAAGTTTGCTATGTAAATTATATTTAAATTATTAGATTTGTACTTACTATATTTATCTAAAGTATTTGGTGAAGTTTACATAAAAATTGTTGAACATTTACACCTTTTTTTTTTCAGTGTACTTTGGCACTTTTACCGCTCGTCCCTACACCGTATAATATCAGGGCAGCGAAGTGTTAACGGCGCATATAATATTAGTTATAAATAAAAGACGACTCTGGTGAGTAGGGTGGTCTAGGCAATTATTTTAAACAGGAAAGACAGCTTTTATTTAGGCCTATGATTTAACACAACGGTTATTATAACTATTGAGTCATATTATTGATTCGTGCTTTTTATGAAACTATTGGTATGATCATTTAGTAGTTATTTTATTACAATTGTGCAAAAGTCCTTGTATATACACAGTTCTAGTCTTTTCTTATCTTATACCATTTGAGCAAACAATGAATGACAGAAAAACTTACATTGGAGCTATTTCCGATCCTTGAGCTAACAAAGCTCCCGTTGCAAACCAAAAACAGTTATTTACACTAAATTGATTCACCAAATAGTCAGGCTCTTCTACACATGGAAAAGGATTAGTCCATTCGTCCGGGCATATTCGCCCCATGAAGTAAAAACTCAAAGACACGGTGAAGAACGATACGCTCAGTAAAATCCAGGAGTCTAGAGCAAATGGATCGGCAAACGAAAAGAAACTGGGAGGAGCATTTTCTGGCTTTTTGAAGAGAATACTTACTCCTAAAAATAAAAATAATTATAGCAATTAAATCTGTAAATAAAATTTAATAATTAATTAAAGACTATTTTTTAATGTTAACAATTATTCCATTAAACAAAAATAAGAATAGCTCAATCTCTGCCTCAGAAACGTCGCGCGACTGTTCTCCTGAAAACGACTACTCCTTTTCTTATTATCGCAACAGAAATTGAATTATATAATTAATGTCATTTATTTTGTTATATCATTTATTTTAATTTTTAAATTAGTCATGGTCATACGTGAGCATTCCTAATAATAACTTTATCCTTAAGGGTAACTATCCGCTTGAGATTTGTACGCGTTTGCAAGGCTTTGGGATATAAATTATCACCTTTTTATTTAACAAAATTAAAGATTTATTTTTTTATCATTTGTTATGAAAACCTTAATATATGCTTCTATAGAATTAGATTTTTTTTAATTAATTTTTTGAAAAAATTATTAAATCTCAAACCTAGTCAACAATTTGTTGCGATTTGCCAACTTGCTACGAATTAAAAAAAATATTTTCCAAATTCTAATTCTATAGGAGCATAGATTAATGCTTTCTTAATCCAAAGGTAAAAAAAAATAATTTTATATTTAAATTTGTAAACGTGATTGTTTAGATCAGACCCTCTACAAGTGGCATTTTCACGCAGAATATGATATCGGGACGTGGCGACACTATTTAAAACGGAGGTTCTTCAACTATTTATGGGCGGGGAATAAGTTGGACGTATTCAGGATTATAAGGACAAAAAGGAAATGAAAAACAGATTATATTTTTAAATAGATAGGTACAATGAGTAGCTATATTTTATTATAATACAATGATTACTTCTGATGAAAGACGCTGCTCATGAAGAAAGGGAACTAGCGATTGCAGCCGGCGACGTTGCTGCAGATGAAATTCCTAAAATAACGGTGATTGCTGATAGCAGTTGGTCGAAACGATCCTACGGGAATAATTACAGTTCTCTTTGCGGAGTAGCATCAATTATCGGTTATAGAACGAGAAAGGTTCTATATATTGGAGTTCGAAATAAATTTTGTATGGTTTGCAAGATAGCTGACAATAAAAAAACGTTCGTACACTGAACATAAATGTTATAAAAATTGGTCTGGATCAGCATCCAGCATGGAAGCTGATATAATTGCCGAAGGATTTTCGAAAAATTAATTGCCGATGGAGACAGCAGTTGCTATCAAAAAATATTGGATACCCATCCATATAAAAATATTGTAGTTAAAAAAATAGAATGCAAAAATCATTTACTAAGAAACTATTCAAGAAAATTAAGAGATTTGACGAAAGGTAAAAAAGCTGGATCACTAGTTCTTCGACAGTGTATACAGCGCAATGAATTAAGGCTTAGATTTGCTGTATCGAAAGCAATTGCTCATAGAAAAAAGAAAATAAACCGTTTGACGAAAAAGTTGAGTTATTAAAAAAAGATATTAATAACTCAATTAGTCATGTGTTTGGTGAACACAAAGAATGCCAAAAACTTGGTTATTTTTGTAAAGAAGAATATAAACCTACAGGGACAGTACTTAGTGACTTTAAATTAACTAATTTATAAGATTTATAAAAATTACTTAGTTAAACATGCAACTAGTCTAATATATGATTTGGATAATAATTTAGTAGAATCCTTTAATGCAATTATTACAAAATTTATTGGGAGCAAAAGGATCCACTATGGTCACAGAAGGTCTTATCGAGCAAGATGTTTTGCTGCCGTGGTAAACAACTATACAAGAAAGCCTCTTTATACACTGAGAACTTGCCTTGGAGGAAAACTTGACAAGTTCGGCAAGACCTTCGAAGGAAAATAATCATAAAGAAAAAGCGAACACAAAAAATAAATAAGACTGATAACGACGAATGCTATGGGCAATTTTGCCAAAAGCCAGTTCTTCCCGAAGAAGATTTGATAAGAGAAAAAAAATGATTTTTTAAATTCTTTTAAAAAGTGATGAAGAAATTAAATTTCTTCAGCAAGAAACAATTGACCAAAGCGACAACGATTTATGGTATATCGAAAAGAGAAAAAGACTAACTGCTTCGAATTTTGGGAAAGTGTGCAATAGACGGAAATCCACAAGTTGCAAAGCATATTCTGTATCCTAAACCATTTTTTTCAGCAGCTACTGAATGGGGGAAAGCTAAGAAACAAGAAGAAATGTGGTATAAAATGAGATTCTCAATTAGATTATTATACTTAAATAGTAGATTACATAACTTAACTTTAATCTCTAATACATATCATAAACCCTAACATATGTTATCCTTCCGTTTTTTGGGAAATCATTCATAATACGTCTTGCCCACATTTATGTTTGGAATTATTTTCCTTTTTAAATATAATTTTTACTTGAATGAGCCGTTTCTGCTGTTTTTAGTTCAGGAATAATTCCAATTATCGAAAACCACCTCGATTCCGTCAAAGGACCCCGTACTTTTTATAGGGAAAAATGGTTTCAGTCCCAAGGTTTAATTTTTGGTGGAAAATGTAGATTTCAATATCCTGAACAAAAAATCTAATGTGTCCAACACATGACTTTCCTATCTAGTTATTACAGCTTTTTCCGATTATTTTGTACAACCTATTGCAGCACCTCTATAAATGTTTGGAGGATAAAATAAATATATACATTTTCCACATACATCTACCTCGAAACATTTTTCTATGGATATTCATTGAAAATGAAAATACTGAAAAATTTAAATTTTTCCTACAATTTTTCCATTACGGTCCATTTTAGAAAAATCATGTAAAAACAAAAATTATAGAGATCGATATCGCAAACAACTTTTATTTTAACAATTTTCATAAAAATCAGAATTTTGCACATTTTGTCAAATTTCTCGAATACGGACTATTTCAGGAAATTTTGACATAAGGCAAAAATTATAGATAATATTATTAGAAATAACTTTTATTTGAACAATTTTTTTCTCCAAACATAAATAAAAGATATATTCCATAAAATATAAAAACGGTCCCCTATAAAGTACCCCCCCAGATGTTCCGACTTTGTCCAAAAATCTAATCATTTCACGTCAGGCCGAAATAAAACTTAAGTATAAAATTTAATGTTTTTTTCTTTATCCGTTTTTGAGTTTTCTTCAAATTTCAAAATTTACACATTTTCTCAAATGTCTCAAATACGGTCCATTTTAGAGAAATTATGTATAGGATAAAAATTATAGAGAATTATATTGCAAACAATTTTTGTTTGAACAATTTTTATAAAAAAATATTTTTTTAACATTTTGTCAAATTTCTCGAATACGGACCATTTAAGGAAAATTTTGTGTGGAATAAAAATTTTAGATAATAATATAAGAAGTAACTTTTATTTAAAGAATTTTCTTCCCTAAACGTAACTAACAGATATATTCCATAAAATATAAAAATGACCACCCATAAAGTACCCCCCCAGATGTTCCGACACTGCCCAAAATCTAATTATCACATTGGACGCTGAAACAAAGCTTAAGTTTGAAATTTGGTGTTTTTCTGTGTATCGGTTCATGAGTTATGCGACACACAGACACACACATAGACACACACACAGACACACACACACACACAGACACACAGACACACACACAGACACACAGACACACACACACAGACACACAGACACACACACATCATCGCGAAAATAGTCAAAACGGATTCAGGGGACCTCAAAACGTAAAAATCCGTCGAAAACTCGAGGTCGAAAAAATCATGATTCCTATACTTTCCTTATATCTGTATACAGATAGGAAAGTAAAAAGGTAATGGGCACAAAAAAATCTACCGTCAGGATTTTGCGCTACGGGACATAGAAGGTCGGCACATGGGTTTTCAGGTTTCGGGTCATTTTTATCAAAAAAGAGCGCGTTCAGTGGCCGATTATGGAGACATGCATGCCTGGAGATGTGTTAGAGTGAAAAAGTACTATATATATACAGGGTGGACCAATCTTATGGAAAAGTTCGATATCTTCCTTGTTGAAAGAGATATTAAAAAAGTGTATTAAGAAAATTATGGACAGGTGTGAGGTTAACATTTTAAAATTATTGGGAGGTATACAGGGTGTTGCATAGCTCGTGTACGAACCAAATATATGTTTTTCTTAATGATAACCCCAGTATATTATTTTAGATTCTGTTTATTCATCTTTTTTCCATTCTTCTAATATATGGTTTGTCTATGTTATATAGGGTACTTTTTAAGGAATTGACATTTTTGTGAGAGAATCGTACATAATTCAACGTCCAGCAGCCAATTACACACTGTAGAAAAAATTTTTTTTTACCCACACGGATTTTATAATATGATGTATTATACTTTTTTTTAGTTATATTTTTATTATCTGTTTATTTGTATACAGGGAGACTCAATACTCAGACTCTTGATTTTCTTGTTTTATTTAAATGGGACACCCTATATTTTATATCACCAGTAAAATCATCTGTTCCAAGTCTTTTATTTTTATAAAGCATTCCATATACCTAAAGTTAATGTTTAACGATATTTTTAACAATAAATGAAAATTATGGTTATTTCGATAAATTAAACTAGTTTTTCATAAAATACTCTTTATAAACAATAATAAATAATATGTATGAATACGAAAAAACTCAAAAACAAACAAAACAATTAAAACATAATTATAAAAGTTGTTCAAAGTGCCCTCCCATAACATCAATACAGTTTTGTAATCGAATTTCGAATGACTGACACATTTCTCAGCATTTGAACATCAATACTTTGAAAGGCATTTCTGATTCGAGTTTTCATGTCCTCTTTTGTCGTTGCAGGCACATTATATACTTTGTTTTTTACATAACCCCACAGAAATAAAATCAATTTTTGTCAAATCCGGTCCTCCTCTTCCGATCCACCGTCTTGAAAAGTGATTATTTAAATAATTATAAATTACTACAGTGTTATGGACTGGTGCACCATCGTGCAAAAACCACATTTGTTGGCGAATGTGAAGGGGAACATCTTCAAGTAACGTAGGCAAATGATTTTCAAGGAAATCCAAATATACTGCACTATTTACTCGTCCTTCAAAAAAGTGTGGCCCTATCACATAATCACCCACAATGCCACCCTAAACATTTAATAACCACCTCATTTGGTTTTGAGTGAATATAAAGTGTGGGTTTGTTGTAGAATAATAGTGAAAATTATGCCTATTTAAACCTCTATTTTTATGAAAAGTCGATTCATCACCAAAGAGCACAAAATCAAAGAAACTCTGAGGCCACTTAAAGTCTCAAGTGTATTTAAATCGACCGGAGACTGTTGACGAATTAAAAGAAAGAATCACCGAAGAAACTGAAGAAATTGGCCCGTACGTCATACAAGATGTTCTTCAAGAATTTAATAACCGCATTGGTTATTGTCAAGAAGTTAACGGCAGTAATTTTGAACATTTAATATCATAAATTGTACTATTATTAATAGAATAGTTAAAAATAAAAATTGATGTTTCTTGAATATAAATGTACAAAAAACAAAAACTTGCTGAATATGGAATTAAAAACCCTTTAAAATTAGGTATCACACGCTACCCCTTTCTATTTAAAAAAATTAAAGGGGTGAGATAAATAATTTTGTTCAGAAAATGTCAATTTAGAAATAAAAATCGACCTGTTCAAGGATTTTTTTCAAAACGTAATAATAAAGCCAATAATTAATATATTCCATAAATATAGACCACCCTGTATATATATAGTACTTTTTCACTCTTAACACACCTCCAGGCATGCATGTCTCCATAATCGGCCACTGAATACGCTCTTTTTTGATAAAAATTACCCGAAACCTGAAAACCCAGGTGCCGACCTTCTATGGCCCGTAGCGCAAAATCCTGACGGTAGATTTTTGTGCCCATTCCCTTTTTTGTTCAGGATGTTGAGATCTACATTTTCCACCAAAAATTAAACCTTGTGACCATTTTTCCCTATAAAAAGTGCGGGGTCCTTTTACATTTTCGTCATACAAACAGAATAAGGGTACCTACCTTAATTATTTACTTTAAATAAACATCACATTAATCCAGTGGCTTTCGCTGGTCAACCATGGAATAATTAACAGGACTTTTTGAAATTTTCTTATTTTCAGTAAAGTACTGAAAATAGGTTTTTTAAAGTTCAGACTGTAGGGTCTTTTATTTTAAGTATTCTAAGTATTGGTTAAAAATCAGTAAAATAATAACAACAAGAACCTAAATGCGTATTGTCCGTCGCTTACGAAATTTGACGGGAATTAACTCATAAAATTTAGCCAAAACATTGAAATTTTCTCTGTCGATTCTCTTCAATTTTTTTTTTTATTTTTCTTCGGGAAAATGGTTTTTTTGGTACTGCAGATTTATAGGTTTTAGAAAATTTTATTTCGTTTAGTGAATTTAAAAAAAGCATCATGTTTTGTTTCCCGAATTTTCTGGAAAAATAAAAATTTGAGTATACAACTCGACGTTCCTAAGAATCTGGTAGACAATTTTACCGATACCTTAAACACATTTCCTAAGAAATTAAGTTTATCTATAACAGGGAGAAGAGGAATTGAAAAAAAGCTCAAGTAAATACTATTTCAAAATTTCGCTATAATATGATGTCAAAAACTTTTAAATTTTCATGCGGTGAAGTGGTTTTTCATCAATTGTCTGCCAAAACCAACTTTGATGGTCACATGATATACGGCATGAAACACTAACCCTTTGAATTTTTTTTTCTCGTAAGATTTATATTATTTCAGTCGAATGAGGTCGAAAAATAACCAGGGAAAGTGTTTTTACAAATTTTTAAAAATCAAACTTCGTTATTTTTAGAAATTTAGAAAACAAAATATTCGTTTTTAAAATTTGTCTATTGGATGTTAAAATTTTGTAATTGAATGAAATGCGACATGACTCACAAATAATATTACCTAATGTCATGAAAGGCACTGTAAAATCCACAGCTTCTTCTCTATCAGACGTTATAGTAAAATCACAAATTGCTAAATCAGCCTTCTGAAAAAGAGAAAATATTTGTTTTTATTTATTACAAAAAAAATACGATAAATACATTATTAACGTATTAAGGATATACCTACATATTCCAAGAGATCTCCTATCATACCCGTCCACTTTTTAAGTTTTTCGTCATAAGCGCCATTACTTTTATCCTCTCTAACTATAAAAGTGTAATTAAATCCTTCCATCTCAGCTAATTTTGCTATAAGATCTATTGCATACCCTTCAAACATATCATTTCCTTGTAGATGCTGAACTGTTTGTTTATGCATGCCATAGGGTTCAGTCTAAAAAAAATTAATAAATTAACTTCGGAAAAGGAGAAATCGGACCTAGATTGACCATGTAACTATAAAGATAAACTGAGTTGACCTAAAGTGTTAACCTGCTAAGTCCATTTTTAGGTAAATTGAGGTTTTTACTTCTACATTATTTACTTTTTCGATGAATTAAACTTCCAAGTCACTTTTATTATTAGAAACCTAAAATATTGCATTATATGAAAGACGTGCATTTTGTGTTGCCGAAAGAGGAAGTACGCGTGTTGTTTCTCTGTGATTTTACCATTTTTTTTTCGTTTTCTGCAATTATTTTAGTGAAAAAAATAATGGTAAGTAACTTTTATAGAATATAAAACATTTTGACTGAGTTTAAATGTGAAACAGGTCAACATTTTCAGGTTGCAATCTGTTTATTTTACTAGAGGGACTTGAATGTTTTCCGGTATCTTATTTTATGTAGCTGTGGAATATTAGCAGCCTAGCATTCTTTAGTATTAAACAAATTATGTTGTTTGTTTGTAATTATTTTATTGTTTTATAATTATGGGGGTACTATTAATTTGTAACAACCCTAATTTTTACAGTATAATACTATAAGTTAAGAATTTTCATTTAAGATAACGTCACGTAATAAGCGATTGGTAGAAATGGCAGTCGCAAAGTCAAGAAACGATTCTGAGTTTAATTATAATACACAGAAAGAAAATGAACGTAATAATTTAGATAAAAATTTAAATCCAAATATAGATCCTGTTAAAATATTTCAATATACCGCAGAAGCCAACCAACCCAGTAGCAATTTTGAAGTAGTTGAAAACGTTGAAATCAACTTTATTGATTCCATATCTACCAACAAAGACTGGGATTTGGAATCCCTCCAAAATTCTGTTCCATTAAACAAAATAATATCTGACTCTTTTGAAGATTAGATTGTACTACCATCAGAAACTCTTAAAGAATTAAAGTACTTTGACCTCAACTAGCAGGTGAAACACGTAACGGCGAATGCACCCAATAATAATGATAGTGCAGCTATAATAATATCAGAAATAAACTATCCGGAGGAGCAAATTCAATCCCAAATTTACACAATATAATCTACAATTTCAGATTTTTCTGATAACAATGAAGCAAATAATTATTCAGTTTCATATTCCGACACCGATTCAAGTTCGTCTTTACACGAATATCCGAAAAAAACAGGAAACGTCATAAACGTTTTCAAGTTCAGGAATCAAAATGGTTTGCGGAGTAAAATAAAAAACTACGAGAAAGTGGTAAAAATTATTTAGGTAGAATAAAAGAAGATGGAAAAAGGAACTATAATAAACTTAAAGAACTTCGGGTAATAAAAGATAGAAGCAAATGTAAATCAACTGAAAAAGGTATAATGCGTATAATGCGGTATAATGCGTATAATGCGCTTCCATCAGTGAACAAGAAAGGCAGCACATTTTAAAGTTATTTTGGGCAATGTTATGGAGTGAAAAGAAAGCGTTTATAGATAATAAAGTTAAATCCGTGTCAACTCAAAGGCACCGAAACCGAAAAAAATCAAATAAAACCAAAAGAGGACAATCTTTACAATATTTTGTGCGAGTTCAAGAAAAAAGTTATAGAGTGTACAGGACCATGTTCCTTAATACTGTTGAAATTAGACGGTGGCCAATTCTTCGTTGGAAAAGTTCTTTTAGAGCACGTGCTCCTAGTATACTACGGCAAAAGTCATCTGGTAAAAATCAAGCTTTCAAAGACCAACGCGAATGCCTAAACCAATTTTTAGATTCTCTATCACATTATTGTAGAGCTACTTCACAAAAAAAATAACTTCTGGATTAATGGCATTCCAACGAAAGTCTTTATGAATTTTATGTCCAAGACTGGTGTAAATCAATGAAGAAAGAGGCTCTTTCAATAGCACAGTTCTCCAAAACATATGAGGAAAAACAAATGGCTCTTTTTCACCACAAACAAGATGAGTGTGAAAAATGTGTAAGCTATAGGGTGGGCAAGTTTCGGAAGACGAATTTAATAGTCACATACAGAAGATAACGGAAGCAAGGGAAAAAAGATAAAAAGGAGGAAAAATACGTTTTCACGGCAGATATGATGTCCCCTAAATTAAAAGTTTCCAGAATATACTACAAAACAAAGCTTCAAGTACATAATTCGCCAAGGAGGCGAATCGACAATGGTTAAATTTCCGTCCTTCTTTTTATAAAATGCGCGAAATTGACTGTAGTTGGCATGTAAAATAACAGCGGAGTCATTTTTCTATGTAAGTCAATGTAAAATAAAGTGATTCTTTAAAAAATTGGTAAAAAGAATCAAAATAATGTGAAAAAAAGTACCTAAGTACAAGTAACATGAGTGACAAAAAACATCAAAGCAAGATTTGCGTCGTTCCAGATTGTAAAACAGAATAAAAATCAAATTTAAAACTAAAGAAAATACAAGAAGAAATCAATTCAATGTCTTTTGAAAGCTTCTACTGCAAGTAAAATAATGTATTCATGTCTAAATATAATATTTATTGTAAACTAGTCACAATATGCATCTTACGAAGTGTAGTTTATTTTATTACAAGTTTCTATAATATAAAATTTTACAGTTATAGATGCTGCGGTTCTTACATTAGTCTTTTAAAAATCTAATATTTTATTATTATTTAGTTTTGGATAATTTTCCAGTATTAAAGTTTTCATAATGTCGGTAATTTGATTTTTTAAGAGAAAAGCTACAAAACAGTAAGAAAAAATCATGTAACGATTTCCATAAAATCTCGTATGAATTACTTTTTATTTGAATTATAAAAGAAATAGTTTTTTGTGAATGTTTTATTTTAAACAATTTGGGTTAGAGTACGGCCTCTGAGCCAAACTCGGATCACATTTTTTTATACCTGGAAATAATTTAAAATTTTAGCATGTATGGAGCGAGCTGTAGTGTTGCTGTTTGTAAACATAATTTATATAAACAGAAATCATCAGAAGAACGAACTGAACCTAAACTGAAATTACTGGCTAATGGTAAGAATTTAGAGTAATATGTCTGCAATTATCATTCACAATTATTAAACTATTACACAAATAAATAAAGAAAACTCCAAAATCAAAACCACATAAATATTTTAATAAAATTAGGTGCAACTAGTTTCGGCTAAGAAGCCATCATCAGGCAATTGACAATTGACAGGTAACAATCTAAAGTGAAGAGTTGTAGGTTTAAATTATCAATATAATAATACAATAATTTTAAAAATACGATAACAAATCTTAAAAATTCCCTTACGAATTATTAAGACCATCCCGAAACCCAAAGGTGAAAACAAATACCTCTGCAGCCGAGATTCGAACCCAGATATCTTTGTTCTGTAAACAAATGCCCTTACCGCTAGACCATAACGACATTGACTGTCGAGATTCCTAGACAGCACTTTGATGTACTAGTTCGGCCAGACGCCGTTTCAGGCTCGTTTTCAAATTTTAAAATACCTAATACAGCAGAAATGCATTCATGTATACTAAGCCCATATTATCTTCGTGAGTTAAGTTTTCAATGTACGTTAAGCGACGTAAACCTGAGTATGGAAATTGTGAATTTAATATATTCTAGATCGCTTATCAAAAAACCGAAAGGTCAGAATTATCTGAAATAAGTTTTAACTTAAGAAAACTCCTTTGAGTTTTCTTGCTCTTGGTTACGTTTAATGCCTTTAATAACCTTTCCATCTGCTTTTTAATGTGGGGTGGACCAATATCCTTTACTTTCAGTTTGAGTTCAGTCCCTTTACCCTGATGATTTTTGTATGCAAAAATTGTGTTTGCAAAACACTACAGCTATGTCCAGGCATGCTAAAATTTAACATTATTTTGAGGTGTAAACAAAAGGTGGCTCGGAGGCCATACCCTAATCCAATATGTTTAAAATAAACCATTTAAACAATAATATTTCTCTTTATAATTTAAATAAAAAGTAATTCATTTGAAATTTTATGAAAATTATTACACGGTATGTCTTTGCTCTTTTGTAGCTCGTTTTTAAAGAAATTAAACTACCGATAATATAAAAACTATAACACTAGAAAGTAGTCCAAACATAAAAATATAGACACCACGAAATAGCAACAAATATTAGATTAAAAAAAAAAACTAATGTATTTTAAATAGGTTATCATTAAAAAATGGCGCTAAAAGTACTCTTTTAGTCAACATTAAATGTAATACAATTCATACTCTTAACATAGTTTTGAATCGTTTTAAATTCATTTGCTTGCCCACCACAGTCTGGAATAGCGGGCGCGAGTATACTAGCTCCCCCACTTAAGATGCCGCCATAGAGATTAATCTACAATTGTAATAATAGAACAGATCCTTATGGTACTAGAGTGGTAGCTTCATTTATGTATCTTTCTGACAAGTACACAATTATAAAACTTATTAAATACCGAGAAATATTAATTTATTTTTTATCATATTTATTTAATTATCAGAGTTTGTCTATCTAATGCTCTACTCTTGCTGCATAAAAAGAAAAATCCCACTATTTTTCTATCTTGTCCCAATTCCACTGAAGCTGATACAAATATTTTCAAACTACAATTATGTAGCAAGAAGAAGCCCCAGCAAGGGACACCTTTGCACCGCTGCAAACCATTGGAGAAGACAAGCATCAGTGTGTAACAGGTGTATTAAAATATTTCGCTATCACCAAGGTTATTTGAGTTATACAAATTTCATCCTACGTTTGTGGACGAGGGCAGTTAACGCAGAAATTGTAATAGTATGCTTTGAAGATAATAAATCCCTCAATACAAACGATTGTTAAAGCATATAACAATTAAGTAAACAGACTGGGAGTGACGTACACACTACTAGTGAGATGCAAGTATAATGAATACGTTAGTAAGTAAAAAATAATTAAAACAAAAATGTTAAAAATAAGGCTGAGCGCTATCAACTTAAAAAGCCATTATCAAAGCCGTCCTAAAAGGCGTTACAAATCAACAATTTAAATAATAATAGATGTTAAAACTTATGTCTAAGATATATATATAGTTCAATCGAATAATACAATAAATTGTAAATAAAATAACAAACATAAAATTGAAAATCGGGGCCGGTAAAGGCATTAAATCCACGTAAAACCCTCTATGAGGTATAGCATTAATCTAATTTAATATTATAAATTATTTATTCAAACATCGTCTACAACGATTCAACTGGTGACAAGCGTACCTATTTTGACACTTGACAGTAGACATAACACACATACAGACTGACACAAGACATTGACAAGTAGGTTGAATAAATGAAAAGTGGTCTTTTAAATAGCAGAAAATATTTAATTTAAAATGATCCGGCAATAGTTTAAATTTATACTCACTACTTACCAAAGTAATTTGTACGTTAAAAGACTTGTTACGTAAGCTTTCAGGATCATCTAGTGTGCTTTTATCTACTGGCCGGGAAACATTCAGGCCTAAGTTAGGTATCCACGTTCCAATATCAGTAATGCCTCCTTCCAGTAGTTCAAAGACTGTTAATTTAAAGTCACTACGGTACCCTTCATTGTCAAATGCTATTTTTCCGGTTAAACCCTCATAAGTATACTAAAAACATATATAATAAAATTAGTTGAATATTAAATTTAAAATTATACGTAAAAGTAGTGACTTCCTTGTAATACTCTGGATTTAACCCTCAGTATACACAGGGCCGTAGCCAGAGTGGGGTACAAAGGAGTAATGCCCTAGCTTAAAACACTAATGCCCTACCTTAAAATAGCAGTCGGTATTGCACATCACGACACACACCTCAAAGTCATAATAAATATTCATGGTAACATGCAACACGCGGCAAGACTGGCAACTTGCAACGTTTAAACTGGTTATTTCCAATTTTTCCTTTCTTACAATTGTGTCCCTCATTACCAATTGCCATCAGTCACATTTAAATCTGTCATGCCCGTGCTATCATCTTTTCTGACTTTGTAATTTTTAACTTATCAGGAATTGTGTTACTGCTACGTAAATTAAGGTAGTATGAAAAAATCCGCGACTTGATAAGGAAATTAAACAAGAACAAACTCATTTCTCAACACACTTACATGCGCAGGACCTTTTGCAAATATTGGAATTGCTGACAATATAAATTGATGGTGCCATTTGACTTACAAATGAGCAAAACCTGGTAACCTTACTCACCATCATCGAAACGGTAACGCATGGCGCTTTTTATAATATGGAGGTCATATCAACAGAAATTAAATTTCTGCTAATATGCCATCCATCAAATTCTATAGAGAAGCATGAAAATAAATTCAAATGGCCTTCTTTACGATTCTTAGCTGGGTGTCTCTCAAAATTTCTCACAAATCAATGCGAGCACCTTAGACATCCACGCCACCGATCTGATGAAGCTTTTAAAAATGAATAGGTAGGTACCTAGGGTAAAGGTGTAAACAATTTTATAATTACGATTCGGTTACGTTTAATGTCGAATTCCTATGCTCGACTATACGCTAAACTCACTTGCAATCAGTAAGGTCAAGTTAAGGGGGACAAACCTATTCATTACTACTAGTTAATACAGCTGGTAAGTTCCCAGATTTCCACCGTTATGATCCCACCACGTGGAAGAGGAAGACCCCTCATACCATGTTATCTTTTAATGCGAAGATTTTGCTAGGCGAAAAACATCCTAGGATCACTTGTTAAGGAACCTAATAGAACTAGCGAAAGTTACAGGTTTATTCAAATGTAGTGCTTGAATACGGGGACAATAAGGAAATACAATAGAGCCAAGAGGCTGACGTGTTCTGGACTAAATCTATTCCAACCACTTACAAACGATAAAAATAAAAATTAAGAAAAAGAGGCTTTCTTGTTATAATAATATACCTGTAGGTTTTATCCTCATTAAATGTAGCCACATAAAGTCGCATCTAGTAAGTAGGCCACTAACTTGAGTAGGACTGTCAAAAATTAGTAAGTACCTAAGGCGAAGCTGTAAACGAATTTACGGTTACAATTCGGTTTATGACAGGAAATCGTTAACGATTCAAATTTAAGTTTGACTTTAGTTTACAGCCCTAACCTGGGGGAAAAATCCTAGAGTTATAATATAAATGAAGCCGCACGGATTATATAGAATTATATTATAATATTTTAAAGTAACTGTTACTTAAGTGAATAATATTATGTAGAACAGAAGTAAAAGTTGGAAATGCTTTTGCCAGTTCTCCCACTTTATACACATAAATTGACAGGTTGGCAGCGGATCTCACCGAAGTGGACGCGATACATTGGCGTCCAAAATTATTTTATAGATGTTAATAACAATTTCGAGTAAATAGTTTAATAAATTGTGAATAGCTGTTGAAATTTTGTAAAATTATGATTTAAATATTATAATACATGTTTAATAATTATTTATAATCCATAAATACATGCGATTGTCCGGTTCCGCCGATAACAATTTAAAATTACTTATTCTATGAAACGACACTGGCAGGTAAACATTACTGCGAAATTCTCGGAGCCGCCCGACGTGGTTTGACGTTTACCCCCTCTCTACCTACCAAAAGAATTTTCAACTTTTACTTTCTCTATAATATTATGAAGATAGTATCGACACAGCTTATTTATATCCAGCTAGAACACTCTCGGCGGCACTTTTGATCTCGTGGTCTGCGATCAAGCGAGGTAGAAGCGTTGCTTTCTCTGTTGCACAAGAGGGAAAAGTCAGAGCCGGATTATAACAATTATTTATTGAAGTAAAATGTTTAATTTCTGCCTGACAGTACCGTAGTAGGTAATTTTAAATTTTATTGGATTATATTTTTTGAATCTATATTGTAATATTACGATAAAATTAGGTTTGGAGTTAATAAGGGTTGTTGAAAAATACATTAAAATTATTCTGAAAAATAATACATTTTCGTTATTATAGATTAAAAGAACTTGTGTGGGCAGAAAGAGGGCGATTTATAAAATTGTCAGAATAATTACGATAATGGGGTGTTTGTTATCTTACGAAAAAAATAGTGATTTATAATAATAGTCGTTGATGTTGGTTGTTCAAGATTATGATTTATTTTTAGGTTTTCCTCCTGAATGCTATGTCATTGTTAACGTCCTTTCTCAGCTTTGCGAAATTCGGCTTTTTGCATCCGAATTTTAATATTCGACAAACTTGCAATTTGGCATTTACGGCATAAAAATTTCAAATTGTGAGTATGTCAAATAATTAAATTCGGATGCAAAAATCTTATTTGGCCTAACTGAAAAAGAACCTTAGACATTATTGCTTTTGACAGTCGCACGGTGATGTTTAGGGAAAAGACAAAAATGGTAATAAAATAAAGTTGTGTAGCTTAGGTTTTAAATAGGTTTTATTACTAAATAATTAAAAAAAATCAAATTAAAAATTTACTTATACCGTTATACCTACGTATATATAACGTACATTATATATATAATAACAAATTATAATACATTTTGTACTATACCATTACAAATTTCTCCATATTATAAGTTTATTTCTATTTACATTTCTAAAATTACCATTTATCGTTTTCAATGTGTAATATATTCTAACTCTTAAATATAATCTAACTACAAATTCTTTGGGGAAATATTTACAGGGATGGTTAAAAGCTAAATGGTTACTTATATCTAAAAGCATTTGGCAAATATTCCTTTTAGTAGCAAATTTTTCAAAGTTTTCTTGAAATATTTGTTCTATTTTACAAATTAATTCCATAAATTTATTATTAGGCATTTGCAAATTTCCGAAGGTGTCCTTATTTGCATTTTCATATGCCTTAAGGAAACAGTAATAAGATGAATCATCTAGTTCATCATGGTCTTTACTATATTTACTGCATATATCACAAGTGTGAACTCTTAAAGCTTTATTTAAAAGGTACCCACACACGTACCGTATGAAATTTTTTTGCAGCATTTCATTATTTGAATAGTCCATGTTATTTAGTGCGTCTCTTTGTTCCGATACTTTATCCTTATCCTCAGGTACAAAATCCTGTTGGCAGTCAGAAAGTCTTAAGAGCATCTGATCAGAATCTGCCTCACAGTTTTCTGTACCTGAGTTAAGCAAGTTGACGCATTGCAACTTTCTAAATGTTCTATGGAACTGTATGGCTGTGGGGTTAATGCAGTTACCGTTTTCACTTCTTATTTTACCGAAATGATTCTCCAGGCAGTCTTGGTTTAATCTTCGTGTAAGTATATACTCAAACCCAGCATTTTCTCGAAGATAGTAAAATAATTGAATAATACTGTTGATTGAAATTATTAAGCTTTTAATAAATTTTATTTTGATGGCAACGTTTATATTATTTTTGTCTCGAATTTCAAGACTTTTAAAAAAGGACAAGCAATCCATTAAAAACTCTAATTGAAATGAGTTTGCTTTAAAGGCAGCATTATATTTTTTTGAGGCAAAGGTTTGCGAAGAATTTAAAATATCAAAGAGTTGATCTACTCTATTAACAAATTCAGCAGTTTCTGTCGCTTCCGAGGGAAGGGAACCAAATCCTATATAAAAACTCATACCTACATGGACTGAGTAACTAAATACTTGGGTGGCAAGTTTGACCTTCATTTTTTGGAAACTAGTCGGGTAAATATGAGAATCGGTTAATTTGTGTGCTGCTTTAACAGGAAATTTTTTATCTAATTCATAGAAGTCTTTAATATATTGCCACGAAATTTTTTTACAATTAACATAAAAGTCATATTTCATTAACATATTTCTCATCGCTTTAATAATATGTGGCACATCAAAGATGAAAAAGAGATACCGGTTTTCTAAATAAAAACCAGTATTGTCTGGAGATATCTTTAAAATATTTGACAATTTGATATTGTTGGACCCCATATCACAAGTAACTGCACAAACATTTAACCCCACATTTGTTGTTTTTTGCACAGCTTCATTTCATAGTTTATGTAATAGATTAGCAGAACAAGAAGTATAACATAAAAAGTAGGCTATCGGCTGTTTCCATTTCGAATAAATTCCCCTTACCATAAGTACACTGACAGTTAAAGTTGGTTTAAAAATCTTTTCCCCTGTATCGCCCATTGCTAGCCCTATGATGTCATCTTGATTTCGTTCATAAAATAAATTTGCTTTTATTGACATTTCATCGAAGCACAATAAACAATATTTGCTTTGAGACTGGAAACTGACAACTTTTTTTTTTAATAAAATGAAGAACTCGGGATTATCTAATCCTGGTCCTATCTTAACTGCTCTGATTTCTTTTAGCAAAGTATTAGGCGAGGGAAGGCTATATTTAGACATTAAATATTTTTTATAAACTCTGGGACCAGCAAAATATATTGATAGGCATTCAATTTTAAATTCTTTGCTGTAACGTCTTCCCTTTGGATGTTTATGCCCCTGTGATACTTGCATATTAACACATTTTGCAATGTCTGGATTGCAAAATTTATATGTTAGGGACATATATTGCTCCAAAGATATATTGTCCAATTCATTATTTTTTCAAGTACCTCAACCCTTTGTCGTAAATATTTGTTTTCGGCATGGACTTGATATGCTGCCTGTATTTAACTTTTCTTGGTGTATCGAAGGATAAACTGGCTGACGTATGGGTAAATGTTGGAGACGTCAGAGGAGGACTGTCTGTAATTGGACTCAGGGCGATCTCATGTTGAACCTCGATTTTGAGCTCGGTTTCAACTAGATTTGTCTGGTTAGCTGCAAAAATACATTTTATTTAAACTTTAAATAACAACTTAGATGAATAAGTATAAACAACGATTTATTTGCTTTAAAATGATTTTTTTTATTTAGGGCGGATCAAAAGCTATAACAAAATTTTACAGCTAAAGATAATCATGTGATTATTAGCTTGTTTTAAAAAGTTAAAAAATAAAAAAGTTGTAGTCTTTTAAAAGTGGAACAAATTTGGTTCACCCCTCGCTTCACCCTGTATATAAAACAATATATTTAATTTTAAGTAAAACACTATTATTTTTAGTACCTGAATCAAATAGTGCAGGTGTGATAGGTGGAGCTATCAGTCTGTCATCTAGAACTCGTATTTTCGCAGGAAGTTGCAAGAGCGGTGCACTATACGTATGGTCTTCAGTTGTGGAACCCCCCTCGAGGGACGGGAATAGGGTAGGAATTGCAATGGCTACTAATCTTGTACGAAAGTGACTCGTGAACATCTTCTCTTCAAAGTGGTCTTCACATATCGCGTAACTTTTATATAATTCGATTAGTTTTTCAAATAAGTCCTCTCGATTGGCTTTCATTGCCCATGTTCTGGCTCTGTAAATATTTAAATATATTTTTAAACAATGCTATATAGGTATTGTAAACGCCAAATCTGAAGAACCAGCGCAAATGCTCAAGTTCGTTTACTTAAAAATCGCCACGCCCATTCTTAATTTGAACCTTGTCCTTGCTTACGGTCAGTAGCGTAACGACTAGAACATTGTTTGTTTCTTGTTTCTGTGTTTTGGTTAAAGTGACTGGTTTTATTTTTAATAATGTCTTCTATTGTGGGTGAAAAAAAGCGCAGATTTGTTATTAACGGACAAAGTCGTGAAGTAATATACAATGTTTTTAAATATTTTGACGCAACAAAAAAGGAAGGAGTTACTTTAGATGATATCAAACTTCAAACTGCACAAGCAACAGGTAAACATACCCTGTAGTTTATTTGGAATTAAACTTGTGTAGTTTTCCATATTTTTTTGTATTTTACACACATATCTGTGCATTTTAATATTTTATATTTAAATTTATCTTCTGTTTCTAAAAAAAATTGTTTCCTAATAAATGTAAAAAAAATACTAAATTTAACATTAATATAATATTACGGTCTTTACTTGATGCAAATCCATATTATTAAAATGAGAAAAACCAAACATGGTAGATTTTCACATTTTTATTTAAAGAAATAAAAATTAAAAATTGCACGACAATTGTTTCTAAGTACAACTTCTTCTTCAAATGTAACTCATTTACATTTCTAATATATATCCAAAATAAACTAATTAGTTAAAGTAGGTATTTAAGAGAAATATATTAATAAATTCCATTAAAATATCATTACCGGGATTATCTCACAGAAAACTAAGAACAGGTAAAGAGATTTAATTAGGCTACTTATTAATATCTAATTGGTCACTTAAGAGGATATTTAAATTTTTAAATCAATTTATTTCATGTGTTTCTAAATGGTAATTTAATGCCTTTATTCTCAAAATGTGAAACAATTTTTGCATAAACGATTGATTTTCAGAAAAAAATATGTTTTGTAGAATTATTTTTGTTTTTAGTATAACTATTGTAATGTTTTAAATAGCTTTTTTTTAAAATACGGCCCGTTTGACCAATATACAATTTTTCCACAATTTAATTTGTTTGAAAAAGGATAATTTCCTGACCGTAACAGAATTTTATATAAATAGCGAACGGAAAGCGGTAGAACAGCCTTAACCTAAAGTCGGTTTACCTAAAAATAATGATTTTTTTAATTGACTATAGAATTATGTACTAATAATAACACTAAGCAATATGTATGAACAAGTATCATTTACTATTTTCCATTTATTTTATGTCTTAAAATATACGGACCTCTGGTTTACAACTTTCTAGGTAAGCTACCAATTCTATTCATCCGTAGGCGTGTTAGTAGCATTATAAATGCGCATCCTTGGCTCTTTAGATCTGGCGCATACTGTATCTATTTGCTTCCAATTAATATTTGTTGATATACATATTTTATTATTTCGATTTGCAAAAATATTAAACAAAACCACCAATAAACCCTCTTTTACCTTAACAAGTATTAAATTAATAACTACTTAGGTATATATTTATACAGGCCAAACATAGCTGCTCATAATTAAAGAAGATTTTGTATGACTTTAAATTACTTTTACTACAACATAGCAAATAATCGAAAGTTTACTTTTCATCAAAATATGCAAAAAATATCGTGTTGGTAAGTACTTACCAGTTAGCATCCTTAGGAAAACAATAGAATTTCTTCTTACAATTATAACCTTTATTAAAACAATTTCGCACTGCACAAACATGATGATGTCCTGATAGTTTTTTGTCACTCATTTTACTACAGTAAAAAATAAACATAAAACATAAATGTTCAAAAGAATTACAAATTAAACACAAAAATATACGCACGGCTATGTCCGCTTAACGTAGAATAAGTAATACTGATCTCCCGACTGCACGGCAAAGACATCTTTTCCCCGAAAAGGCGAAGCATAGAACCTGCGCGAAGGGATCGACGCAAACCGTTCCCGCCAAGAGAGTGTTCTAGCTGGATATGAATAAGCTGTGGTATCGACATCAATATCACGAAGTGACGTAACTCGATTTTCACAACTTTATAAGAGAGCGTAAAGTTTTTTTACAAAGTTACGTCTCTTCGTAAAATTATCAAATACACCGGTTAGATACGTGCTATTTTAATGTAATGAATTGAGATACGAAATTTCGTAAAATTGTGGAGCATACTTTTTTTACATAATAAGTGAGATCTCAATTTTTTATTTTTTAGAGTTACGTCACTTTGTGATATTGATGACGGTATGTCTATAATAGAAGATACATCGGTAGAAGAGCGTCAGTCAGTCATGAAATCCAAGAAAATATTTGCTCATAACTCTCTGTATCTGTAACGTGTGGAGGGTGAGTTACCTCCACGGCTTTTAGGGCTCACTAGGCCCATTGTGCATCCTCTTAAAATAATAGGTACCTCCTAGCTCGTAAGCCGGCCTCAAGATTTAATGTAGTTGACAACGTCGCCAAGAGGTGCTTCTATAAGTCTATAATACATAAATGCAGTCCTTAATAAAAAAAGCTGTCTGACAGCTAGAATTATATCACATTCGGATACTTGAGTAATAGATAAGTAGTCTTGGGAGAGCCCTAGTGGGATATTAAGAGTATTGTCAGGAGATGTTTAATCCGAAAATGATATTGAAAAGAAAGTAGCAAAAGAGGAAGCAATGTCGGAGAAATTATCTAGATGTTTGTTAAAAATCATAGTATCTGGAATGGTCGAAGAAGACTTTTTTGAGTTGTTATAAGACCAAAACGCGCGTGGATCTGTTTCAATGTTATCTTCTAGCGTATCCATGTATTGTTTGTGAAAAGTGGAACTTAAGTATTTAAATTCGGTTCGTAGCCGGTTGAAAATGTCATGGTCAACCGAATTGGCAGATTTTTTGAAATTTCTCCATGCCCTTGTTTTTTTGTTGAGCATAGAAATTAAATGCCCGTTAAACCATGTTGGGTAATTTTTTTAGCGCTTGAAATTTTTCGGTGGGATATATTTAAGAAATATATTGTTGGATGTGTTATACTTACGGATTTCAACAAATTCACAATACTTAGACCATGTTCCCAACTTCCGGGTTCAGAACACTGCAAACTATTTTTGTTTTCAGCAATGATTCTCACAGCGCTAGACTTCTGTCTATCAACAAAAACGGCTGTGAACATATGGAGAGCATCGATGATAAGGGCTGGTTCCAATTGAAGTTTCCAAGCTGGTGCTTCTAGCATAACGTCAAAATCCTCTGAAAATAGATCAGCACTGAGTTTTTGCACATATTCCGTTTCGGGATTTATCAAACGTATCTGAAAATTTAATTTCGGTTTTAAAGGATTCAGCGACAAAGAATTAAATTAAAGAATAATAAGTTATTTTATTCGACCAATAATAATATACTAGACTATTCACTGATGGGTTTTAATTAACACTGATATTAGAACCCTTCACGCTCCGATATGGCCAGCAGGCCCAAATACAGTTTCGATCTTAAGGCAAGATTAAATCAGCTCTTTTCACCCTTAACGTGTATATCTGACAAAAAAACTTCGGCAGTCTTTCAACGATATCAATGAATAAAAATTCATGAGTGCTTAAATTGTAGAATCCCTTCTGCTAATTAAACACGGTTCTTTTCAGCGTTCCATCCAGTGTACTTCTGAATGCAGCCTTATAACCGGACTAAGAACCTCAAAAAGTTCAGTGTTAGTGTTAAAATAAAAAAAATAAATCAAAAAAAGTTTTAAAATAAAATGAGTTACCAGAGAACCATATATTAAACCAATTTTTTTATCCTTCTTTAAACTAAAACTCTTTAAACATTAAAAAAATTATATATTTTGTTTTTTGAATTTTTAACCTAAACTGGGGACCTTATAATTTTGATGAACTTTAACACAAGGTATCTTTTTTGTCGAAATGCTTAACGTAAATTTTTCATAAAATTGTTTATAATATATATCCCCTTACCGCATACTGCGCCAAATTTGGAATATGTAATTAAAATGTTATTTTCAAAACACATATTCTGCTTTTAAACCGCCAACACAATCTGTTCCATATAAAAAATAAATCATTTCATCTTATATGCCGGACCGCTACATGAAATTTGATTCCTTGTGCCATATTTGGCACAATTTGAAGTAATAATAAATCTGGCTAATTTATGTTTTATTTTTTTAGATGGATCCGAAACGGTTTTATGGTTATAAAACTGTTGAGATTCTGGATTGTAGCAGTGAAGATGAAAATTTTTCCGATGATGATTATCGAAATATAACCTTTTGTTACGTGAAATTAATTTTAAATTAATTTCAAGTTTATTTTTAACAACAACTTCTCCATAACCCCTCGTAACACAACATCTGTATGTTCGTCCTACCATTATCGATTTTTACAAAGCATCGTTCGCGCATGATCTGCTAATATCGGCGCATAGCCCATAGCGGTACTTTCAGCCAGGAGTTCATATAAAACCTAAAACGGTGAATTGGTTTTTCCTTTTCTGGTGTTTAAACTCAAAAAGTGCTAGCGTGCCGATAAATTTAATAAAATGAATTGCTAGTAATTATCTTTCTTTAATTTGTGTTTATTAAGTGTGAACGTTGGGATAATTGTCAGGTTAATGTTTTTCTTTTATTCCCATTTTGCTGGATTTCGTTGCAAAACCGAAGCTCGGCCATGTGCTTTTTTTTATTACCACCATGCTAGCAAAAGCCGGTTTCTATAGTATTTTTAATACAAATCCCGATGCACGTCAGAGATCATTTATGACGTCACGGCCTTGCAGTGTTGCCTAATCGTCAGAATAGTTGAGGAATTTAGAATTTTTTAAAATTGTAAGGTTATGTATTTGTTATGTTACTATATAGTAGGAACAATTAGTTTTAAATGTATATAACTAACGGAAAATATTGAATTCCTTTATGAATAATAAACATCTGAACAAAAAGCTTTAAACATATTATGCAAGTCATGGAAAATAAAACTGTAAGGTAGTATATTGCAGATGGATCAAAATTGGTTTAGAATTAGCACAGAAAATATCTAAAACTAATTTAATTTCACCAAGAAAGTTATTTAACAGAACTACATTTAAGTTATAAACCACAACACCCCATAAAATTGAAGAGGTCATTGAAAAAATGAAAACTACAAAGGCATGTGGAGGATTCATAATATCAGTAGATACCTATACTTAAAGAATTAAAGTTTGAAAATGCTAAAATATTTGAATACAAGAAGGAAATTGTTAAAATATTTGAGTAGGTGCTTTAGTAAATCTCACTTTCAGTAACGTAGCTCAAGTATTCAAGATAGCCAGAAATGCTTCAAAAATAAACAGATATCGCTACTTCTTTTCAACTCTAAAGTTATCGAAACATGTATGAACAATAGATTCATCACTCAAACATCAAGATTCTCCATTCTATCAGCTTCAAAAGACATTTGAAAAATGTTATTCTCAGTCAAATATTTTTTTGATATCTTGGAATAAATTAAATAAAAATACAGATATATAAGAAATATATCAAACTGTTTATTGTTTTAAAAATTAGACAATGTTTTTTTTTTAATTACACTATTTTCTCATAAAAAAACAATTATTCATCTACTAATCTTCATTATTCCTATAAAATTCTTTTATTTCTCCTAATCCAGATCGCAAGTATTTGAATCGCAGTCATCGATATCGCTATTAGGGTTAATTATAATAAAAATAATTTCCAATCTATTAAAAAATCCCTCTCTGCCAATATGTTTATTATTATATTGCTTAGAAAGGTCACAAATAAGTTCAATGGAGTTAAAAAGAAAATGGCTGGGAAGATAACGTAATACTTTGTCTATATTGTTCTGCTTAGGTAATTATCTACCATATATTTCTTTGGTGGTTTGCACCTGAAAAAAGAATGTTTTATTTAGTTCTATTTACTTGCCATTTCGTATAACGTGTGTCAATATCACTATATTCTAAACTGTAATATCGAAACAACACATTATATCAATGATTTAATGTTAGGTACACCGTTATATTAAATCTTGTAACTTCATTTTTAATTTTTTGATATTGTTTTAAAGTTTATTTCTGAAAAAAAAGGCATTTTTGGGTGTCACTGTATATCTTGAAAATGTGTAAAACATGTAGATGTTTATTGACCACTTTAATCAAATTTTTCCAATTAAATTGTCTTTATATGATTGCTAGAATAGCGTATCTACCATTAAATCTTCAATATGATGTGTCATTTCAATATTAATATTTTTTTTGACTTGATTTACACAATTACTGATACCTTAATTTGCTTCAAATTTGGTTTTATCTCTTGCCATCGATTTTTGTAGGTCTAACACCCTTTTTCATTATTTTCCCAGGAGTTGTTTAATGTTTCATTTTGAACGATACATGTTTCATCAATGACAACGAACTGCTTCTGTTGTAATTCTATAATTTCTTAAAAACTGACCTATTTACAGTTCACGTCTTTGTTATCCATTTTCCTTCATTCTTTTAATACAGTTGACAATGATGCAATATAGCCATTAAACATTTGTCTCTCAATCAACTATTCTCTTAAAGGTTCCAAAGTTATATGTTGACCTGCAAATAAGTATGTATTTATATTACTGTATACAAATTAAAACTTTTATAGCTAATATAAATAAATTATGATTGAATAAATAGATTTGTCTTTATACTTACTTGTTTCATACATATTATAAATACCACTTCCGATTCCACTTGTATCCAGTGTTATTGTTATTGTATTAGGTAATCCTTTGTTTATGAATGCTTTTTAATTAGCGATTTTAATCATTCATTATTCTTGACTGCTTGCCAAATACTACTGACAGTAGAAATATTTTTATTTAGAGATGCTGCAACACACTAAAAAAGACATGAAAATAATTTCATATTTCTATTAAATTTTATAACTTGTAACTTACCTCTCTTACAGCAGTTAAAGGTAAACGTGGTCCATCACGCTCTCATTCAAAATAATGGATTAAAGAAGCTATCAACTCCTTACAAGGACTATTTAGTTTTTTAGGCATTTTTTATATAAAAATTAAACGACAAATAATCAGCTTATACACTCTATGGTTGTTTTGAAAAACAGTTTTTTATAATTATAACTGGCAAAGCTTAAAAATACAGGCAAAAGGATTTTAAATTACAGAAAACAAAATGAACAATCAATAATTAACTCAACATAAACTTAACCTAACTAAATCAGTGAAATTTTTTAAAAAGGGGTTGCAACACCGCAACAAGGTGTACCAATTGCTGTAATGACATTTCTTCTCTATAAATACGAGCTTCATGGGCGTACAGAATGTCAAAATTATTTAATGTAAAGTATTATTTTTTGAGTACTAAACATTTAATAATGTTTTTATAAATTTTATATTATCAAGAATTAGACATGTATAAACTAAATAATTTAAATAATTCTTAAAATTATCAAAATAATCACCATAACAGTTTTCGACTTTTTAGTAATATGACTACGTTCATGAATGCTCGTGACTATACGTGACTTTTTCGAATTATTAGCTTAGTTAGGGACATTTTAATTAGTTGGTAGTACTATGACGAATGACCGACGTCACTGCTGACGTGCATCGGGATTTGTATTAAAAATACTATATATTTTATTTAATTTTATATAGATGTGTTATCATTGAAATACTTTGATATATACGCGAGGAGGCAACTAAATAATTGAATTACAAGTCAGTCTGGAAATACAGTTTAAACGGAAATTTATGGCTCCTAACTTATTTTTGCCTTATAAATATTTTATATTCTGTTCAGATGATTTAACTTTAATATTTGTCGTGATATTTTATATTTTGTTCAGATGACGTAACTTTAATATTTGTCGTGATATTTTATATTCTGTTCAGACGATGTAACTTTAATATTCGTCCAGTTTATGCATAAATCCGTTAGATTTCCAAACTGGCATGTATATGTACTTTTACACACGGTACTCAGGTTCTTTTATTTCTGAACCTGTAGTGGCTCCAAGAAGAAGTGCTGTCTCCAAGAAGAAGTACTGTCTCCAAGAATAAGTACTCAAGTTCAAGTGGAAGAAGCCAGGAAAAAGGAGCATTCGGATGAAGCGATCGAAGTAAACAATAGAAATTGATGATTATTATAAAAGTGAAGACGACTTTTCCCATCAATGTAAAAGTAAATAAGGCAAAGAAAAAAAAACAGGATTCGCTATAATTGGGAAGAAAAACACTTGAGAGTCTCCGACGAAGACATTTTATTCAAAGGGTTTGAGTCCTTAGAATA